CCACAGTCAAGAAAGCTCTCGAGAAAGACACTGCTACCAAGGTTTAACACACCCATGCTATATAAAATGCCACACTTTTCAGCAGCTGTTTGCATTACGATAAATTGGCAGAACTGGCTCCCCAAGCAAACCTACAAAATAAACACCGAGCTGCCTGCACAGCGACCAAGCTCTCGTAACAACTGCCCCCTTCCAAAAAAAAAAAAATCACTAGGACTCACTAATCTGAAACAGATACAACACAAACTGCTGCCACAGGTCAAGGGTTTGATAATGGCAGTGGGCTCCACGCTTCCCACGTCACCTCCCAAGCCAGCTGTGCATCCATCTCATGTTCACAGCAGCATTGGGGCCGAAATTGCTGTGCCTTACCCAGATTCCATTCAGAGAGAGATGACTCTTTGATGCCACGCAACGCCTCACTTTGCTCCAGATTAAAGGGTTTGTTCAGTTTAAACACTAAACTGGGAGGACAACAATGATGTCCTGAAAATAAAATTAAGGGCAAGTAACAACACAATTACTTTTTTTTTTTTTAAAGCTGGTATTTTATTTTGTTGAAAGCTTCTGCAATTCTTTTTTGAATACCTTTGTCTCATGAATTGGTGTGCTTGGCATTAAAGCACCTTATCCATTTGTCTTAAGTCAAACAGCTTCCAAACTGGATGGGGGAATGTGAAAAAACACAAATTCAACATACGTAACTGCATTTTAATCTAAATCTTCACCAAGGCCCTGAACTTTAAAAATTTCCTGTTTGAAGGCTGTGCTACAGTTATGTGCTCCATCCTTGGGTGCAACCAATGAATTAAATAACTTTTTCCAGACTGGTGTTGACGTATGGGCAAAAACAATTCCTCTAATGGAATACAGTGTCTTAAATTAAGGAACTCCCAAAGGTTTGATGTTCATACTGTTATCTCCCCTTAAAAGGAGACAACCTTAATTTGTTTCAGTGTAAGTGTTTCAGCAGGGCATCACGGCTCCTTTCCAGCTCAGTTCACAATCTGAAGCTGACTCAAGGCTTCCCATTAACTCTCCCTTCAGTCCCTGAGTAGGAAGGGAAAACAGTCTTAAGTTGCTTATTTTTGATGAAGCTGACCCATCCATTCATAGGAGGAAAGAAGAGCACTGAGCAAAGAAGAAAGCTGTGCTTGTTTCCCTATACAAATAAAATTATGTGCATGACAAGTGTGCTGCTTAAGAGAAATGGTCACAACAAACCAGCTTATAACCACAGTTCTGGCTACAAACAATTGAAATACTTCCTTCTCACAAGGAATAACAGGGCCCCACACCCTGAGCATTTTAAAATACAGACATCTAAGTGTCATAGAACATCAGAAATATTTTGCCAAAGGGTTCAAGAAACCTTATGGCAAAAGTCTCAGAAATTCCCTCCAAGCATAGTTGTCCCAGGGGAAGGACAGAATATTAAATGGTCCCAGTGTATTTTACTTCCTGGAAAACAGGGAGAAGAGCCCTCTACAATGCCTATTCACAAACCCTTGGAGCTGTATCAGAATGTCAGTTTTGAGCCCAAAGATACTTTCTAAAACAACAACAAAAGATTTTTTTCTGAACACTAGAAATACCAACAACAGGAGGCGAATTATTTCAAATCCTTCTAAAGTATCAGCCCTTCTCAAACACGGTCCTGTTCTCTTCTGAAATACCTCTGTGTAATAATAAAACAGAAATAAAAACATTTCTGTTCAAAGTCCTGATCTGGAGAGAAAAGGTATTTCATTTACTAAGCATCTCATGAATCTGATCTTACCAAAAAAGATCTCAACAGCTTTTCATACCGCAGTGGGATTTTTTCTTATAATTAAATGGCAAGGGACTCAACCAAGGTGGAATAAACCAAGATGAATTCCTGGTACTGTTCTAAGGGAAGCAACCTGGTTAAAACAGTGATGTGGGGGAAAAAAGCACTTTAAACACCCAAAAGTGGAAAACACCAAGGAAAGTAGGGGCAGGCAGTAAGACTTGAACCTGGCAGGTCAAGTCAGAAATAATGTAGTTCATACTCAAGAAAGTCAATTAGAAAATAATCAAGTTAGGATAGGCACCGTTGTTACATCTGTAACTCTAATTAATTGCAGAACATTTCTGAAGTGGTAGGAGTAGTATTCCAGCAAAACACATCCTCTGTGCAAGTCTCAACAGGTACAGGAAAAACATACACAAAGCTATAAGTTCAGTGCTATTTTATGGATTATGGTACCTCCTCACACGATGTTTTCACAGGTATTAACACACCCACCACACAGAAAATTTGTTTTCCATTCCTGTAAATAAAACATACTGCTAGAAACCACACAAATTATACACAACAGAGAATTATGGCACGTTCTTACGTTTTCTTCATCAGGATCCGCAGCAGCCCTGGCACTTACTTACTAACCAACCCAGTACCTGGAAGAACTATGGAGTTATCATTCCAAAGGGTTGACCTGAATGGATAACAGGACTATAAAGTGCTTTAGATATGATAAATGTGGCATTAAAATTTCAGGCACATGACAGTTCTGACTGCCTTTGATTTCTGCAAACAGTAACTAAGATACCTGAGTTTATCAGCCTGCAGCGATGACAGCGTTGCCTCGATCACAGCTGCACTGACTGACCACCAGTGAACTACAACAGCTAGTAGCCATCCACCAAGTTTAAGTTGCCACCAGCATGAAAAACCCACCCACTGCTTCGTTGCCGCTTCCTTTGCGAGTCACTTCCCTACGATCCACTCACACGGGCAAGGACAGGACTCTCCCAGAGCTCGGGTGACATCACCAGAGCAAGGATGCAGGGATCATTTCAGATGTCCTCTCCTCCAGCCCTGGTTAGTCCCACGGGTTTCTCCATCCAAATCCTGCTTCACAACAACCCAACTGCTTCCAGCACTCTAAGAAAATCAAATGTAAGGGACATTTACAAAACACTGACGCGTTTCTCACCTCAGAAGCAAAATATTTGTAACAGACATTACAAAACGTAGGTATTTTCTTTTCTCAGGGCCTCCGCAGAGCCTTCGTTGACAGGAAGTTTACCAAGTGGCAAAAACACAACACAGGCCAAGTCCTCATTTCCTTGTTTTTCAACCATAATATTTTCACAATAGCATGAAAGCCGTCTCAGAGTGCAAGACTCCAGCAGAAACTGGTTAGTCTTTTGGAAAGAAAGAAAAAAAAAAAGCCACTGTAGTATCCAGTGTTCGGCCTGGATCGATGACCGAAACACAAGAACAAAACCAAGGAAACGCGAAGCAAAGGTTAATTGCACACTACATTGTGTTGGTGCTTTAAAAACCAGCTCAGCTAAAATATATGAGTGACCTTGTACGATAATTGCTCGGAAAAACAGGCAGGCAGCTTCAGTTCGGAAACATAACTGAGAATTTCTGGGATAGAAACGTGGAAACAAGTGATATCGTGTGAATTATTCGCAGAACTAAGTCACCTGGTCACAGCATTAAAAAAAAAAACCCAACAAACAGAAAACAAAATACTAATTTCAAGGTGTTTGCTTCGGGGGAGGAGACCTTCAAGGATGTCTACTACTGGAATTACTCCCTATTCATCCCCAGGGAACTCTGATGAGCATGCAGAACGGGCTGCGCAATTCCCAACCATTCCCTATTGTTCCACAGTCGGTGCTCAAGCCAGCGCGTAAACAAGCCACGAAAGACAAGATGCCACCCAATATCCGCTTAAGGACCGCAACTTTATTGACGCGCGGCCCCAAAAGTTCACGCTTGGCCCTTTTTTCCTCCTTTTTTTGAGCCCAACCGGGAGGCGCAGCGGCAATTACGCAACGCTGCTCCTTCGGAGGCGGCCGGGATGGAAACTCCGGGAATATCCAGGGAGGGCACTGCGTCCCAGGCCCTCGGGGAGTCATCCCGGCTCGACGATGTCCCTCACGCCGCGGCCCCAGGGTGACAACGCAACATGGAGGGGAGGGGGGGGGCTCTGCGCCCACACAACCGCGGTACTGCCCGCGCCGACAAGACCCCCTCACGGCGACACACCAAGCAGTCGCCGGAGAAGAGGCCGGAGCGCCCCGAGGGGCTGAAACGAGCCCAAAAAATGGGTGTCCGAGAAGCAACGGGTCCTCCCCGCGCCCCCCCCCCCCCCCCGCTCCCGCCTTCCCGCCCTCAGCGCCCCGCGCGCGCCAGGCACGGCACCCCCCCCCCCCCCCCTCAGGGTTGAGGAGCCGCCGCTGAGGGACCCCCTCAGCCTTCCTCCTCCTCCTCTTCCCTCACGGAGCCCAAACTTCCTCAGGGCGCAGCGCCGGCACCTGCCGGGCTTCCCCGCACTCACCGCTGCGGCGCCGGAGGACGCCCAAGCCAGAGCTCGCCTGCCGACCGCCCGACCGCCGTGCCACACAGGTGCCCTGCCCGCCGTCCCCGGGCCCCTCTTCTCTTCCTGCCCGAGCGCCCTGGAAAAGGGCGGGAAGGGACGTGTCCTTCTGGTGCCCCTCAGGACGTGGCGCGGCGCGCCCCCCCTGCCCGTCCCTCCTCAGGTCACACCGTCCCCTCGCTCGGGGACACCGCATCGCCGCGGCTCCCCTGCGGCTCTTCCCCTCAGCCCCTCTGACGGCTCCTACCGCCCCCTGACATGGCTGTTCCCCTCAGCCCCCCGGCTCTTACCCCCCNCATGGCTGTTCCCCTCAGCCCCCCGGCTCTTACCCCCCAGCTCCAGCCATGGCTGTTCCCCTCAGCTCCCGGCTCTCAGCCCTCCCGCCCCACCATCACCCCTCCGCCGCGGGATGATGCAAGGCGCCCAAGGCTTCCCCCTGGGTTACGGGAGGGGAAGAGGGAGACGGGAAAAGGGGGGGAATGTGGGAGGGGTGCAGCAAGGACCAAGATGGAACGAGAGCCCCCCTCAGCAAGCGGCGAGGCGGAACGAGAGCCCCGTCTCCGCCGCCCCGCCCGGGCACGGACCCCCCGCCGGAGCCGGGACCGCCTCGCCCGGCTCGGTCCCGCCGAGCGCCCTCACCGCTGTCCCTTCAGGGCCGCTCCTCCGCGTCGCTGCCTGTGGTAAGGAGCCGATGGCCGCAGCTCCGCTCGGGGCTCTCGTCCTTCAGCCGGGTCCGCCCGGCCCGGGCTGCGGCGCTGCTGCGGCGCCGGGAGCGCCGGGCCCGCCGGTGCCTCCGCCCGGGCTCTGCTGCACCTGCTGCGGGGCTGGGCTGCCCTGCGAGCAGAGGAGGCTCCCTCGCTCCGTCCTCCCTCAACTTCGCATCACTCCGGGCTGCCCCCGCTCCGCGCCGCCGCATACACCGGCGCTGCCGTCCGCCCCCGGCTCCGGGGAAAGGCTCGGCTGCCCTCCCGCCCCATGCACTGCCCCGCTCCCGGGACAGCGGGCAGCTCCCGGCACAGGGCAGGTCCCCCGTGCCCGCCTCTGGCGGGAGGGGCCGCGGCCGCCTCCGCCAATCAGCCCCAGCGCCCATGGGGTTTAGCCCCAACCTCTTTAGCTCTAACCCCCGCTGGAGGCAGAGGCACCTGCCTCTAAACCAGGTCCATCCAACTGACTAAACGTTGGCTAAGCAATGAAGTTGTCCCATCCTCCATCATCCTGGGAAAGTAGCTTTTAAGGCCCTGACCTGACGGACTTTAAATACTGACGCGAAGTCTCCAATTAGTTCTGGGTGGGTGTGGATTTGGTTTTTGGGTGGTTTTTTTTCCTGCTATTCACTTCTATAATAATAACATAACAATAAAGTATAATAAAAGTGTATTTTCACAGCGGACAGACAATAAAGTTCTTTGAAACAATAAAATTTGTCCCTCATCTCACACGCACTCTAAAATCCAAACTTTCCCTCTGCTTGCTTTACACTTTACGTTCAAAAGTGTTTTATGGACCCACCGTTTCATTGAAACTTTTACAATGAACTCTAAAGAAGTGTCAGTCTCTCTTTCAGGTTGGACAGATCAAGTTACACCTTTAATAAAAGTGAAGGTTTGAGTTTCATCAGACAAAACAAGAAAGTTAATGAAATTGGAATGGTAAGTTAACGACGTGCACGATAAGAGAAATGAACGTAAGCTTTAGATTGATCCCCATTCTAGTACAGATGGCTTGCGAAAGAAAATGAAACTTCACTTTCATTCAAATTAATCCAATTTATTTGGGACATAGAACTTCTCCTGATATTCATTATAGAGCCTTTTAAAAGCTCTTGCTTTTCTCACATATAAAACAAATCATTAAAGTTTCTCAAATCCCATGCCCCATTTGACATCTAGTTAACGTTAAATCACGTGTTAAGCTTCAGTGGGTGACACTGAAATCCTGCAAGCTAATAGCGGCCTTTGGCTTTGAGGTAAATACTGAGCTCTCAAAATGAGGTTCTGAAGTTAAATGTCTCAAAATCAAGCATATTCACACTACTGTGTCAAAGGTTGTAGTTCCTTCTGGACAAAATAAATTTGAAACTGTAATGCCGCTGGAAGGTAATAGGTAACAACTGAGTAAATTCAGCTTCTCTGCATATCTAAGTGACCTCCTTATTCCCTTGGCAACTGATGTAGGAAATCCAAACCCAGCAGAACCGTTCTTGGGGTAACAATGGGCATAAGTCTGGATTTGAACCCAGTGTAGGTTTTGTTCAGACCTCCCTGAGCTATGTTGAGATCTCCTGTAAGTTTATCAATATTCTCTTTATTTCTCTCTTTCGGCTTTAATGAAGGTTCTCTTGCTGTGAAAGCAGCAATTGGTGCGATTACCTGGGGATTTTTATCACAGTTGCTTATCAGACCTTGGTAAAAAATCAGTTTAAGTGTTTCTTCATGGAATGTGGTACTGAAAACGTCTCACAGTGGTGGTAGTGTTTTGAATTTGCGGTGTACTATTTAATTCCAACTCAGGAGAGAATGGTACTTCTACGAGCTTTTGTATTATTTCCCACACATTCTATCTTTCCTGTCAGCATGTCATAGTTGCTTGATTTGATCACTGTTCTGCCTTGCCAGTGTCCTATCTTATTCAGCAAGCAAGCATGGGTCAGACACAAATTATTGTGTTCAGAGTTAATGATTTCCTCAGAACATCATACATTTATTGTAACAGCATGTAGTGATCTTTCCTTGTGCAAACACTTCAACTCCAAGAACGTGATACTGTCCTGTTATGGGTACATGCTATTGCAAATTTGCTTCTATTTCAAAATCCAGATACGCCTAAAGTTTTTGTATTTAACGATTTTGTATTTCTTTCGAGGTAAGTGTGAAGTGTTCATTATTAACTAAGCTATTATTATATTTCTAAGGTGTATAAATTGTACAGCCCAACACTGAAACAGGGATTTTTTTATTCTCTGGTAAATTCCAGAATGTAACCCAGAAAGTCAGTGAAATTGGAATCTCGGAATTCGAAATTGTGATAAGAAAACTGGATTCAAATAAAATAAGAAAAATTCACTAATTGCTACAAATCTGAAGCATTTTTAATTTCAGTTAAAGTTTTGCAGAGCTAATAAACACTTCAGAAGTGTTTTTGAAGAACTTTCTATTGTTGTCCAAAGGACACTTTTATATTATTTTTAAAGAGAGGAATAGTTAATGAAAATTTGTTTGTAAGTTGGACAGCGATGTCCCAAAGTTATTTTTGCTGGCTGAGGAACAAGGAAATGCTGCTTGACATGAAGTATTTCTCTGAGGTTGCAGTGTGCCTTCACCCAATAGAATCAAGTTCTAACATGATTCTGTTGGATGAAGGCAACTGTTCCCTGCTGCATTTTCTTCCTTGTGGACTTTTTGTCATGCTCATAAGAATCAAGGAATATTCTAGATCTGTGACTCTTCAAAGCTGGTTAGTTGAACTGCTCAATGTATGTAAGTTAAGTTGAAGATTATGTCCCTTGTGCTTTTCTCCTGATTTGCACAGGTCTGTTGGCAAAAGAGAAAGTAATTTCTCCAGTAGATTTCTGGATCGTGATGATTCACACCCTGTTCTTTGGGTTGTTTTCCCCGCTGCCTTGATTGTTTTGGCTATACATGCACATACTTCAAGAGTTTTTACAGAGCAAAGCAGAAGTACAAACCTCCTTGTAGCTCATCTGAGACAGTGTTAGATGATTTTGCTTGTTAAGTGGTATGTGATCGGCCAAACTAATTTATTTACCTGCGGTTTGGAGTTCTTTTGCCTTTCCAATATGCCAGATGGAACTAATCATCTGAAATGTATATTACCTGATTTAACTGCAGTGTTACCAGACAACCAGCTCTTCTAGATCTGCTTGCCACATCTTGGGAACTTGTTCACAGACCCCCATAAAAACAAGAAAAATGTCCAAAAGAGCTTGCCTTTGCTGTAGGTGATTGTTGGCCTTATTATCTCACATAACAGACACTAACACAGAAGTGATGTTAATTCTACCTGTGTAGGTGACTCCCAGAACTGTATATTACACCTGTAAGTGGTGGTGCCCAACAGAAGATAAGTCCTGTGTGATCACCCCGTATTTTGAGGATCTTTTAGGTGTGAAATGTTAATTTGCAGATAACTGCTGTGTATTTGGGCAGCGGCAGAATGTCAAGTGCCTCGATCACTCTTTCTCCCGGTTGAGAAACCTGTGGTGCACCTTCAGTTGTTCTCTCAGTGCAGCCTGCGTGATCACAAAACATAATGTGCTATTTCCTTGAGCAAAAATTGTAACAAAGAAAGAAGGAATCATTTATGAGCAAATTCAAGTGAGATCTCATCTCTTATTATTCCTTGTCTGGCAGTACTGGAACTTTCTGAGGGGGTTTGTTGACCACGGAGTCAGAACACTTTACTGTACAAAGGTGTTAAAACCATTAATCCCACTTCACATTATGTGGTTGGAGGAGGTACAGGGAAGAACACTTAAGAGTGTTTAGGGGGATGGAGAGTCTAAAGAAGCTGGAACTCTTCTGTATGGAAAGGGAAAAGCTGAGGGAGGATTTGGTCAAAGCCTGTGAAACCACGAAGTGGGCAGAGATGGCAACTACACAGCTGCTATTCGTTGTAATCCAAGAACAGGCGACAGTAACTGCAGCAAGTATCAAAACAGGTGAAAGAGATGAAAGCAAGCTCTTCATGAAAAGCAGCTGACCTTGATTTCCTTGATTACCCCAGGAAGTTTAAAAGCAGGCTGTTTGAGCAGGGTAGGAAGGCAGTGAGCATCTTTGTAAACCTGTTCTAAGGGCTGAGTTTGATTCTGGGAGTGTGCGAGTCTAAAACCTGAGTATTCTGGGTAAGTAATAAAGGTTTTGATTATACCAAGTGGTTGTGCTGTCTCTGAAAGGTATTTTCTTTTCTTGGTGTTAGAAACTGAATAGTGGCCCAGAGGGGCTTTGGTCACGCATGTGGTATTTGTTGTACTGGAAGCTCTTAAAGTAGACAGTAGAGAAGCTTGTTAATTAAGTTTTCTTGTTATTTTTGCACTGGTCTAAGCAGAACTCTGTATTTTAGGGTGTAATTGGAAAGTTACAGTACCCTTCTTCTGTTTTTTCCTTGTTAGCAAGTGGAGATTAATTTGTTTCTGTGGAACTTGGGTCTGGAAGTCTCAGCTGTCTTTTCTGAGTATTTGTAAATCTTTGGGCAGTATCGATGTTAGGCTGAAATACAAACAGGCAATAAGGTGTGGTGTAGGTATTTGTTGATTGAGTCGAGTTTTGTTTATGTTACCTATTCTGGTGACTCTTTGTTCCTTTGTGTTTTTTTTCTATGCTTAACTGTGGTTCACTGGAGTCAATTCAAAACCTGTGCAATTCGCTGTAGCATTGCTGTATTCTAATATTGCTCTTTTGCCACTGCATCTTTAGTTGTTTTTTGAATTGAGGGATAACATCTTCCTTGTTATACATTTGAAAAGTAACAATAGCAAGATGGATGTTTGTGTTCATGTTTTTCCGTTCAATTTAAGAAAAACAGTCATTAAGTCATTAAGAAAACCCCCTGCACGTGAAAAGTCACTCAGGAGGTTTTATTTAGACTATCGTTTCTATCCATAAATTTGACTTTTCAGTGAAGATGTTTTTCTTAACTCTTTAGCAACTGAAACCTGAGAAGCCATTGGTATCATTGACAGGGAGGTTCCAATGCCAGATTGGTACAAACTCAAAAACTATCTGTGTGGATTTAATCTGGTTAAAACATAGTGGGTTTAGTTTTGGTTAAAACTGTTTGCATATGTAATTTGTTACCTTGCAGGTTGTTATATCCTATGCAAATAGTGCCCTATGTAGCCATCCTTGTCCCTCTTCAAAGAGAAGAGCTACACTTTCATGTCTTTAAGCTTAAGGAACACCACACAATGAATATTAGTGGTAGGTGTTTTTTTTTCAGTTTAAGTATCAAAAGATATTTCAAGTGTGTTACCTGATAGAGCTTGCTTGTTGTAATCAGTTTGTTAGTCAGGAAGAAGCAATTACAAAGTGGTAGTACAATAAAGTCTCATTTTTAGAAGGAAAA